TTTTGATGTTGGCGTTTCTGCTGAGACGGCGAAGGCCGCAACCGCCCCCGGTTCTGGTGGGGGGGTAGAGCTGTAGGCGTGCGCTCGCGGGGCCCGGGCGCCCCCGCCGCTGCCGCCCCACACTGGATTTGAAGCGGCGGCCTAGCGACGCAGTGCCCAGAATCCTGATCCCTGCGGTCCGACAGCCCGGTTCTCCCCTTGCCCAGTAAAGGGGCTCTGGCGTTTCCGGAAAACTGCAGGCTTATTGAGAGCTTGCTTTCCCACACGCTACTCCGTTGTCTAAGAATTGGGGGAAATTGGCTTTGTTTATGCAATGAGTGCTTCCTGCATCCACTGAGGGAGGTTTAAAAATAGCCAAGCTTACCTGTCCGAGACCAGACAGTGACTTGAGCTCTTCTGAACAGATTAATCCACACGTTCCTGCGGTACGCCCGGGTGAGACAAGCGCTAACGAGCTGTCTCCCCCCACGCGTTTCAGGATTCTGGGTGCCCTCCTGCCAGAAGGGATTCTGATCTCGCCTTCCGAGGGATCTCCCCGGTGTCCGCGCCTTTTCCGGCCGTGGTGTTAGGCTGTTCTCCTAACCCCTTCGTTGTATTCATGAAATGTCTCTTTTCTCGACCAGGTACAATTCTGATCGCCGTTTATCTGACCTCTCAGATTACCGTCGTTTAGCAGACTCGCCGCTCGCGTACCGTCGTTCGCCGACAAAGTCCCCGATGGATTATCGCCGTCTTCCAGAAGCACATTCCGATTACGCCCGCTACTCGGGTGGCTATGGCGATTATATGCATACGGCCCGGATGCATTCTAGTTACCAGCGCCGCCTGTAGCGGGGGGGTCAGCTCTTTCCCAGGTGCAGGCAATGGTTAAACATTCCCAGTCGGGACATACTTTCTTAGCATAAAGCCAATCTGCGTCTTTCTTAGGCTCGCTTTCTCTTTCGGTTCTCTGAATCACACGTTCCTTCCCCTCCCGTGCTATCTCAGGTGTCAACGCAGCCGTTCGTTTGGCTCTCGTTCCTTTGTGTCATTTGGCTAAAGATTTTCATGTTCATTCTAGGCGAGAGTGAGGAGTCCCTGGGACTTGCTGTTGCATCCAGTGCAATTAGCGTTCTCCTGGCCTTTATTCCGCGTGGGGCAGGGGGCGGGGGTTTTTTTTTTTTTTTTTTAATTACTGTTTTTTGTTGAGTTTTTAGAACGATCTGAATTTACGGTTTCAAAAAACTTCTGCGCTCCGACCCCAGGAGCGCTGAAGATGGCTGCGCAGTTCGCTTCCCAAAGGCGAAGCCCCTGCCTCTGGGTTCCTTTCCGCTGCTCTAGCGCTCAGAACGCCATAGCACACGTGGAATCGTTTTCTGCTTGCGACTCCTCTCGCTATGTCTTCAGGCTCCGTCAGTAAGGCAAACTGCTCCCTGGCAGGATTCCTGGTAAACGCAACTGTCACCATGATTATTGCTCAGTGCTGTTTTTATAACCCGAGCAATTGCTGTCACTGAATGGAAGAGCAAATGCTCTTTTATATAATGTGAGAGTCCCCCCCTTTTTTTTTTTTTCTTTTTACACCAGTGTTAAGTTTGCTCTAGGCGTGATGTTAGAATTGATACATCAGAAACGAGTGAGATTTTGTATGACTGTAAATAAAATGCTGGGCTATTTACAGTTTAGAAACAGTTGTCCGGTGTTTTTTGTTTTTGTTTTTTTTCCCCCCCCAGCCTATCAGTTTCAGGGATACCTTCCCATGTGCTTTTAGCAGTTTCAGGGATACTGTCCCATGTTCTCTTAGCACCTTTGCCTTCATGCTAGAGGCGAACCAAAGGGAAAAATAATCCGCGTACATCCACGCAGCCACCTATCGGATGGCGACGCGACGGGGGGAAAAAGGGAGCTGGAACGTCGGCCTCTCGTGCGGTCTTGTCTTACGTGTCTGTCCCTAGAGCTGTCGGTTTGAACGGAACGGAGGCGTGGGAGCGGAGCAGCGGGCCCCCCCTCTCCCCTTCCCCGCGCTGCACGCCCCCAGCGGAGCGGGGAGCTCCTGCAGCCGTTTCGGTCTCTACCCTGGTGCGTTGGAGTTCCTGGTCCTGCCCCGAGCTGCTGACGGCCTGCGTTTGCCAGCGTCGCGCTCTGCGCTGGTCTAAAGTTGGGGGAGAGCTGGGGAGGGCAGACGAATTTCTGCAAGAAATTTGTCCAAAAGGAAAGTCTCGATGGCGTGGAAGCGGAGGAGCGGGCTGCGCGCGGAGAATGAGCGCGAAGGGTGGCTCAGCGCAGCGGAAGCGGCTGGAGGGGAGGGAGCC